TGAAATCTGATGGTATTTCTATATAATTATACATATTTCATAAGAATTGCTTTCTGTGCTGCAGTCCTGATATTAAAATGTTTAGGAAATATTCATCCTGGAATGAAATATTCTGTCATGTCAGTCATTTATATATGTATTTATATTTGTCTGCTTATATGTTTGTGTTTATTTATTTGTTAATTATTATGATTTAACACTGAAAACGGCCGGGCCGGTCTCTGGTTCCATCAGAACCAGGCGGTTCTGCTGTGGGCCCGTTGGGTCCGTACCTCTGTTTGCGGGTCGAGTTGCTCTTCTGCTGCGCGGCGGAGCTCTGGTCTGCACACAGAAACGGTTTTACTGCTGCTCAGCGTCTCACCAGAGACCTGAACACCAAACGGCTGATCCTAAACGCTCCAGCAGGGGGCGCCGTCTGCTGCTCACCTCCAGCGGTTTTTGGTTTCTGGTCCGGCTGGAAGGAGAACCTGCCGGGTTCGGGGGGAGAAGAAGAGCCGTAACGTGTGTGAACCTGGGCAGGCGGAGCTTCAGCTGCTCTACAAACCTGACGGTTGTTTCCTCATGCAGCTCCGTGGCGGACCGGCTGCGCCGCAGGCCGGCGCCTTGGACCTTGGTTCTGGACAGAGCAAAACTGTCCAGCAGCACAGAGTCCTGGACACACACACACACACACACACACACCCTTGACCGACCGCTCTGCCCTACAGGACGAATCTAATTCAGGCAGACTGCCAGGTTTTCCTGGTCACACTCCTGCAGCAGCAAGTTGAGATACAAGACTTTGACTAGACCACTCAGAAAGATTTCATAAAGTCAGTCTGAGGTTTGGATCAGTCAGAATTCATGGTTTCATTAGTCACTGTAAAGCAGTCCCAGAGCATCACACCCCCACCGCCGTGTTTGGCGGCTGTTGGTTTTATTCCAGATGAAACTGTCATGATGTGTTGATGGACCAAATGCCAGAGAATCCGAAGATTTCATGAAAGAATATGGAAAACAAGCGTAGGAAAATCAAAGGGAGCCACGGAAAAAACAAAAATATCGAAAACACCAGCAAGGGGGACACGAGGAGGAGACGGGAGGAGACGGGAGGAGACGGGAGGAGACTGGAGGAGACGGGAGGAGACTGGAGGAGACTAGAGGAGACTGGAGGAGACGGGAGGAGATGGGAGGATCCGGCCAGTAATGACTGGAAAAGAGAAGCTTAAATACTGAGTCGGTTGAACGCTGAACATGAGATCTGGGTTGACGAGCTAACGGCTAGCAGGTGAGACGAGAGAGACAGTGACTTCCTGTTACTGTTATCAGATAAACAGGAAGTGGTTCTTCACCAGGGCTGTCCACACCAAGGCAGTTTTTGTATTTTTCTTTGTTCTTTTTATTACTTAAACTATTTCATTGTTTTATTTGCATCAGTTATAAACAGAAACAGAAGCATAAATGGAGCTTAACATTTTAATAGAATAAGCAGTCCCATTTCTGCAGATTCTGTAAATGATTGTAGATTTAAAACATCAAAGCGTTTTCCAGGTTAATTGTCTTTTTCTAGATTGTTTTGTGTTTTCAGGTACCTGGATTTGGTTCCTGTTCATGAAATGTTTGCGCCTCGTCTGCATTTCAGTGAAAGTCACCGGCTTTCTGTTGTCTCCTTTACCATTACGGTAAATTTAATTCAAAGCAAAAACCTGGATGAAGACTTTGTGTTGCATTTTCCATTTTATGATTTTAAATTGTGAATTTTTTCAAAGGCTTCAGTAAAACCTGGATTCTGACATCGGATCTGTTTCCACCAGCTGAACCAGATTTACGACATTCAGGGATCGACACAAATCTGTTCTTTTAATTTTACATCATTTTCTTTCCCACAGAAGAATAAAACTATAAATCCTCCTCTTGCTGTATTCTCTGTTTTTCATTGCTTAAATTCAAAGACAGAGATAAAATGGGGCCTTTTTAGAAAAATTACAACAAATGTTCTAAAATAGATATTTATCTAAATATATGTGTCTTTTTGTCTCTCAGGCTGCAGCTGAACTCACCTGGCTGAAACCCAGGTAGCTGCAGCGCGACTTTATCTCCTCCTTCACCGACGAGAACGAACAGCAGATCTGATCCGGCGATACCTGGAGAGACGGGGAGGCAGAATCAACCAGAACCAGCAGCAGGTCCCCCATGTTTGAGCCGTAAAGGCAGATGCTCAGGGCGCCAGGAGTCTAAGGGCGCCATAGTAAAGAACTAGAAAACCTGAAGCTTTTCTTTTTAAAACAGCAAACATGGAAAATCCTTTGGATTTATGATGAACAAAAACAAACAGAAACAAAATTTAACTATGTGATTCGCTCGTCTTTTTCTAAATTTATTATATTTTTTCTTGGCCTATCGGTACTTTTGACTCGACCCATGAGACAAAAAGTTTGGACAGCCCAAAGTTCAGGGTTTAAACTGCAGCTGAAAAGTGAAATAATGTTAATATCATAGAAAACTCCATGGCTATGATCCAATCTGTTTCCTTTATATCTACAAAAACAGGGCAGGGTCGGAGCTTCAGGGGGGCCAGGGACGGTCCCGGGACCCCCCGAGGCCCCCCGGGGCCCCCAGGGGCCCCCAGTCGTACCTGGATGTTGGTCATCATCTCCCTCAGCTCCTCCAGCCGGCCGCTGAGCCTGGTCTGCTGCAGGTTGCTGCTGGCCGCCTGCAGGACAGAAAGACGGTTAGAGGTGGACGGAGACGGTCTGACAGGGACAGTCAGGGGACAGAGGACAGGGGTCAGGGGTCAGGGGTCAGGGGTCAGCCACCTCGGCCTTGATCTGGATCTGTGTCCTGCTGATGATCTTCTGGATCTCCTCAGTGAACTTCACCTCCGCCTGCAGGGAGGAGAACTTGTCGTCCAGGGGAGCCAGCACCTTGCGGAGCTGCAGAGGGACGGAGACAGTTGGACATGTGAGGACCGGCTGCAGGGGACACGGGTTCCCTCTGGACATGGACACACCTGCAGCAGACTCTTGGACTCAAACACCTCCAGCTCAGAGAAGATGGAGTCCTCGGTGGAACCGATCCGCTTGATTTCCTCCTTCATCTTCTTCTGAAACATCTTTACCTCCTGGGCAGAGAAGTCTCCTCCTTCTTTGAACGTCCTGCAGGAGGAAGAGGAGGAGGATGAAGGCCTGCCGTCCTCCTGCTGCCTGAGCTGAAGCTGAGGCTACCTGAAGGACTTCTGCAGCTCCCCCGCTCTCTTCCTGGCCTCCTCCAGGCGGCCGCGGATCACCCGTTTGAAGTTGGTCTGGCACCACAGGGTGTCCTCGGCGTGCCGGTCCAGTTGCTCCTGCAGGGCGGCGCCAAAGTCCTCCAGCCTGACACACACAGGGCAGATCAGAGTCTGCAGCTGCAGGCCGGCGGCGGACGGTGGGTCAGGTCTTACCGTTTCCTGAACGCCGCCTGGAGGACGATCTGGTTGTCCTTCTGTATGGAGATCTGCAGCTCCTGCAGCGCCATCTTACGGGAGGTCAAAAGGTCAAACAGCTCCAGGTTCTTCTTGTGGATGGAGGCCAGGAGATCGTGGAGCTCTATCCTGCAGGAGGTCAGGATCTCCGAGATTTCCTGAGAGAAGGTGTCTACATTCTGCCGGTGGACCTGGAGCTCAACTACACACACACACACACACACACACACACACACACACACACACAAAATTGAAGTCAACCAACAAGCTAATGTAGCTAGCATGACATGATAGCATGGTGGCTAACACTGGGCT